TTGTATAAATAGCAAATATATATTAATCTTATCAAAATATTTTATTATTTTTATTATCAAATAGCAAATAACAAATAATTTATTTTGTGAAAAAATTAAATAAATCATTTAATTGCAAATATATTCACTTACTTATCGTATGAAGAGTATTAATATTAATGAAATATTTATGTGAGAAATAATATGTTTTTAGAAATAATTTATTTTTCAGATAATATTAAAAATTAATTTTAAAATTTCTCGCTCAGATTTATTTTATATTTAATGAATATTATATTAAATGAATATATCCTAAATTGTTTGTAATTTAATAAATAAACTTTAATGATAATAATATATCTAAAAATGATATTTTTAGATATATTAATATTATTTTTAGATATATTTTGTGTTTGTTTTGAACTCTAAAATATATTTAGTATGCATTTTGTATCCAAAGAACGTATTAACATTTTGTATATAAAATATATGGAATCACAACTAGATTAATTATGTTCATATGTATTATATTTCTTATTAAATATATATAACTTATTACAGTAATTTAGAATCTGTTTTTTATTTCTTCTAATCTCATTTAAAACATTCAAATAATCAATTTTTAATAATTTAATCATTAATTTTAAATCAATTTTACATCAATTTAAATCTATATATTTGAAATAAAATGTATATTTCATTTAACATTTAAATATTTTTATAATTCCTCTATGACATATATGAATTGAATGTGTAAACATTCTATGTATAATAATTTGTGAACATAATTAAATTGTCTTTTCAAAAAGTTGATAAATATATTTATAAAAAAATTGGCTTATTATTAAATTATTAAATTAAATATTTATTAAATTATAAACAATAGGAATATAGAATATAGAAATTGTTAAACAAAACGAAACGAAAAAAAAAAAAATTCGTACATGAATATACATATTATATAAAATATTATTTATTCTATAAAATATTTTTTGCAAAAAGTTTTCTTTAAGTTTGAAATTTTAATTGGATATTCTGTTGAACTTTTTTATCTTTTTTTTTAAGAAAATTCAAATATTATAATTTTATTTAAAAAAAATTGACTAACATGGATCAATATCAAAAAAAAAACAAATAAAAATGATACATATTTTCAACCATACAAAATGTTCTGTAAATAATAGAACATCATAAAGATAATTATTTATATTAAAATAAGTGGAAAATATAAAATGAAATTTTTTCATTTCATTTTTAAGAAAAATTTTAATTTTACTTATTAAATGCTTATTATTATGAATTTAACATATTTTATGAATGTTTATAGTTATTATTTAAAAAAAACATAAATTGAATTTTATTTTATGTTTTCTATTTTATTTTATTATTTTATCTTATTAATAAACAAAATAATAAACATATTTTATCTTACTAATAGAACAATAAGGAGTATATTTATGAAATAGTATAGAATAGTATAAATTTATGAAATAGAATAATTATTTATAAAATAGTAAATTTAATATAATTTTAAACGTTTCTAATTTCATATATCTACTTCCATATATCATTTATAAAACGATTTATTAATAATATACATTTTAAACAAGAATACATTATTTTTTTATTATTTATGTACTAATAAAAAAAATAAACTGATTAATATCAATATAATTAAAAACAAATAATATTTAAAATTATAACTATAATATTATTTATATTTAATATTATAAATTATACTATAATATTATATTATGCCATACTAATGTAATATTATATTATAATGTTTTACATTTTTGCTTTATATAAAATTCATAAATTTATAAAATTTTAAATAATGCGTAAAAAAAATCTTGCAAAATATATTTATATCTTACACATTGTTGTATAAATAACAAATATATATTAATCTTATCAAAATATTTTATTATTTTTATTATCAAACATTTTAAAAACGAATTTAAAAAATATTTAAATTTTATTATTTAATAATTTAAATAATACTTATTTTGTTTAATATTAAATTTTAATTATTAAAAATAAAGATTCAAATTTGCGCGCGTAAGATCGATAAAGTCGACTAAGCAGTGAATCCAACCCAGTCATCCCCACTTCGTTATATCCAACCCAATCGATACTTCTTTATCGACTGTACAATCAGTTTCCTCAGTGATCTCAAGCACTGCAGTTGTCGTAACACATTGTGTTGTATTGTGTCGCAATAATATCTTCAAATTTCTTTTAAAAAATACGAGAGTAACACAAACATTGGTTTGCTAGCTCAAAGTTCGTTTAAATACGGCCAATTCATAGATTCTATTGGTACGAATGCCATGTAAAATCTCAAAGAATCGCGTGTGCTGTTAACTGGTGGACGATTTCGACCGAGAAAGTCTTACTTTCAGAGGCCTTCCGGTTTCTATTTTCTGTACGGTATATTCACTTTTTTTCACAATTTTAGTGTAAATATGCATTAAGTGTGTACCGACTTGAATCTAAATTCTTGAAAAATTCTTCTCTATTTTTGGTAATGGATTAAAAACAACGTGTTTCAATTGACAATCTCAGGTGAGTCCACTTGTTCTGTATCGATAGAGCGTCTTTTTATAGAAACATATCGAATTGGTTGATTATATGTAACGTACATCACTTAGTATACATAATATAATAGAATATAATTTATAAATATTATATATATTTAAATATAATACTGATATAATTATATTTAATTAAAAAATAATGCGAATGAATTGAATGGATAATAGATATAAACAAATATAAAAGAATGATCAGTTAGAAGAAAATGAAAAATGACAAAGTACATAAAACTATGAAATATTAAATATCTTAATTAATAAAAAGAAAATAAATGTATGTATTTCTTTAAAATTATTTAAAATCATATATAAAACTATATCATCAATCATTCATTACTAAAAACAAAAAAATTTTATAATTACATCAAATAAAAAATGAAGGTTAAATGATATGTCTTGAATCATATATTATTATATTATTTAATGTTGAAATAAATTAAATCATTGAAATAATAATAAATATGTGTATAAGAAAAAATGAATATATATATATATAAATAAATATTTATCAATATTCTAATAAATATTGTACTGAAAACCACACAAGGTTAAGTTCATATATGTATACACATCTTATATATTATTTAAAGAAATATGGATTATTATTCATATTCACTAGATAATTAATAATTGCGATAATTATTCATAAAATAATTATATATACATATTTATTAAATTAAATATATAAAATATATAAATATGTATAAAATA